ATTACTAAAGGCCATCAACGTTGGACATTATTGGAATTTTAAGGTAATTCTGAAAATAGTTCACAGTTGGCGAATTCTTTGTGAAATCAAAGGAGAATTTCAAGCTACTTCTGAGTAGAATTACATCCATCTTTGTGGGCTTCGGGGTCGTGCGGTGTCACCCATCATTTAGGCGTATTGTGAGTGCCACGAAGTGAGGTTTCGATTCCCGCTCCAGTCGGTGCAAATTTGGCAACCTGAAAATTTCCCTACTGGTCTAATGGGTGTGGTGTATTGCCCGTTATCTAGTGTTAAACATTTAGTCTGTGCAACCTCTGGTTGATGACGGTGTCAATTGTCTTGTCAACTCTGATGACAATTGCATGTAGATTTTGTCAATAAAGGAAATACAATCCGGAAGAGAAATCATAGAAAATTCTTATGATGAAACTTAAGGAGTATGCTGATACGAATCGTGAGAATAATTTCAATGGAAATCTGTCCAATGTTTCTATGGAGATTAATTTAAATAAAAGTTTAAGCGCAATTTCTGGGAGACTTTCAAAACCATTTTGGCAAAGTACTTGAGTACTTTGGTAATACTGAAAAGGATTTCAAACAATTCTGACCTTACCTACAAAACAGTTTAAAGGGAATTATCGGATGGGTCTGAGAAGAGTGTGACGGTCATTCCAACCGGTGAACACTCGTGTTTATTTCAGTTACCTTGGGGACGTAATTTGTGATTAGCCCCGGTCCCTTTCAAATCGTATAATTATTTATGTACGGTCCTTATATTTTAAATGCCGTTTCACATTCATCTAGTGATGACCGATTTTCATTCGAATAATAGATTAATCGATTAACGAACCTAAAAGTAAAATATTTGTAATCGGTTATATCATGCTGATATAAGCATTAACATCTCCAGAGGATCATCACTGATCGTTTCAAACATGTGCTGCACTCTCATTGGTGAAAAAATGGCAGCACAGCGAACAAAAAAATAATCGATTAGTTGTTAATCGAGTAATTAAAAAATGGGCCATCTCTGATTTTGGTGTGATTGTTTTGATAAAAATTAGCGCAAAATTTTATCTCTACCGAGGGGGCAGCAAAACCACAAAATTACCTTGAATACGGGGGGTATTCATTGGATGAAAGGGACCGTGAAAGAGGACACTAAAATTAAAAGTTTTTCTTCCGACAGTTTCATCTTAGTATTCATCTTTGGTCATTCTGAAGAGTGTACCAAGGAAATTGTTAAGAATATTTTAAGAATTTCATAGAGAAAAATGGACACAAAATTGAGCCAATTCTTGGGAATTATTACCAATTTGAGGGATTTGTGGAATTGGAGAGTGATTTATATTGTGTGTGGCAGGATAAATTCTCAAAATAAGATTATACCATCTGTGCTATGCTTATGGCCGTACGACTGCGCCCATTGATTTAACACACGGTGGCTCTTTACCCAGGATTCGCTCCTCAAGCCGCTGCCATAAAATACTATCAAAGTTACCCACCTGTGCATAATCCTTATGGGCGGGGTTGCATCGCGATTATGAGCGGCGCGCTTCGAACGTCACCAAATGAGAATTTAACCGAAGAAAACAAATCAAGAAGACTGGCAACTCTTCTATTTTCTCATACGAACGCTATGAGACAGGTACAATCGCGTCATCTGCCGCTCAATGGTAAATGCTTCGAACGAATGTGATAGCAAAGATTACATCCTCAGACGAAGGGTTTGGGTATTTGCTCATTTTTCTATGCGTTGCTTCCACCTCCACTCAAGCGCAGCGCTACTGTATCTGTCGCTTGGATTCTGGCAAAGTTGCCAGTCTTCTTGATTTGTTGTCTTCGATTTAACATAAGCGGGACAATAAGAGATTACAAGAGGTAATGTTAAGAACTCTTAGAATGTTAATGGAAAAGTTTAGACATTTTCAAGGTGATTTGTAGGGGAATATAGAAAATAAATATGATGGAATTCTAGGATGATTCGAATTGAACTAAAAAAAAAAGGCGATTACGTGAAGAGTTCCACGTAAATTCAGATTAAAAAGTAGAAGGGTCTGTGCCTAGGGGAACGAACGGAAGCTTGACGTAGGACCGCTAGTGGACGGAATAAATGTGAAGAGCATTTAGTTCTTTTAATTGATCAATTATCTATTATCTCAACTCTTTCCGATTTTGAACTGTAGGCGTACCAGATTTGTAGTAATCTTTATCAAAGAGAAAGTTGATTAAGAGAATCAATTAAAATCACTTGCACCCCTGCTTCCAAGTTTGGTTACAAGATTACAACTCTGGAGAGCATTTTGTGTGGTCGTTGGGGGCTTGTGGTTCTGAATATGGACAAACAAGCACAGATAAATTCTATTCCAACTATTTACTGCTGCGTTTAGTGTAGGTGACAGCATCACGGATCTCATTTTTCAGGAACACCTTCAGCACACCTCGTAAATCAGACCGGAGATACGTCAGACACCGCCACGGCGAGCCAGACGACGGATGGTGGTTATCTTGAAGACTTTGCGATTGGTTCTGAATATGGCGATGAGTGTGCAAAATATTACGCAATTCCATCCTCCCTATTTGCATGCCCCGAGGATCGGAGGCGAATGCCACTTCGACTTGTTTCGTCTACTTACTACTCTCTGACGACTGTGCTGGGGAAGCAGCATATGCATGTAGGTAATTGGTGGATTTTTTAGTTAATTCGACGCTTTTGGACAATGCTGGAAATTTACCAGTTTTTCAATAGTTTCTTGTTGAAAATCAACATTCAGAAGCATTGTTATCAATGCGTAGCCATATTTCTGATCTATTGGTGATAAAATTATTGAAATTGAACCAGGGGCAGCTGAGATATTAACGTTCAAAATCTTTCTTAATTTGTTACATGTTCCATTTTCACAAAGTGTACCCCCATATAGAAATCAAAGACGTAGTCCTACGTCAAAAAAAAAATCATGATCTGGGACGCAGGAAAAATATAAATTCCGGGATTTAGAATCATTGCAGGATCCTGAGACTTCAAAAATGAAGCTACCGGACTTGCATTTTAGTAATATAATAAAATTATTCTTTGGCATAACATTATTCGTAATGGTCATGCGAATAGTGGAGTTATCCGTTGTTTAGGTAAACTGTGTGTGAGTTCCACGATGTTAGGCTTTGATTCCCACTTCAGCCCGGTGAATTTTGCTTCAAAATAAAATTGCCTACTTGCTGGGTGTTGTGCGTTGTATGATGTCAAGAATTAAATTGTAAATCTGATTAACCTCAGAGTAATATTAGAATTATTTAGAACTAACAAAATCTTCAAATTCCTCTATTGCATCAAATAGTAAGGACTACATCGACTATTAGTTCAAAAAATTCATCCCATCAAATTTCCTTGATTCTTTGCTGCTTATTCTGTTTACAGTTTAAAAAACAATTCTAACCATATTTTCTGCTGTTTTTTACCCCCGTTTAACTCAATTTTTGAGATGCTGCGTAAAAGATATTCGAACTTTTTGGGCACATCGTGTCAATACTTTTCAACTTTTGGATGATTTTAGCAATGCGAACAAGTTATTTGCTTTATATAATTTATTTAAACATGTAATTTATAACCATTCTAGTACTTTAAATAAATTCCAGGTGATCATACTGACCTATTTTTACGGGAGATTGGCACACTTTTATTTTAAAAGCATTATGTTAAAAAGATGATTTTTTGGTGCATTCCAGATTTTTCCAGATTTTATATTTTACCTGGTAAAATTTTTTTCTGAAAATGGTGCAGGTTTGAATCGACCGTTTGGATTTTCGAGCAAAAGTTAAGTTTAAGTCGGTTTGTCTATGGTTTCGTTGCGCGATTTTGCGCTTCGTTAAGCAGGGCTTTCAGGCAATACAAAGTTCAACCGTCATTGATTACAGACTATATCAAACGTAGGATTTTTATTCAATGTTCATCTGCATTCTTTCTCTCTAACAGTGAATTTTCTTCTTCAGCCATCACTGTATCAGTTTTTCAAAATAATTTACCAATTTTTCGGAACTAAGTTTTTAATTTTGCCATTACTTATTATCTCTTATTAGTCTTGTATTGTTCCTCAACACTTGATTATACTATTTTATATTTTGCTAGATCGCCCGGCTCTAAAGTAGGTAAATTTTCTTTTCGTCCTCATTAGTTTTTGTTTCCTCTAATACAATTTCAGTCGATAAAACTTACTTAAACACAAAAAATCGTACGCAAAACAAGTAGGTATGCTTGGCAATAGTACTGTTTTATCATTAGTAAGTCATTTTGAACTTTCCCAAAAATAATAATAATAAGAGACAACAACAAAAAAATCTATAAAAGTACCGCTGTAAGTTGTGCAGAAAAATAGAGGATCTATCCTTTGTTTTGTAACTTTAACTTGTATAATATTTGAAGCATCCCTCGTCATTTCACTTGATGATCAAAGATGCTTTAGGGAATCACAATAAAAGCTCGTTGCAATCGCTGTGGTTGTTACTATGTAATAGTTCAGCAATTTCCCATTTTGTGAACCTATTTTTGCTGGATCTGCGAGCTCAGGCTTGTTCTTGTTGTTGCAGTTTTGATGTGAAGATCTGATTTTTATTTCAAATCATCCCTTCGTCATTACATTTTATTGAACTTTTTGATTTTTGGCCTGAAAAAAATGACAATCAATCAATACCATTTCACTCGGTGATTAATGAATACTGAGAAGCGAAGTGGATGCAAGCTGCGTTTTAGGCGTATTTTTCGTTTAATTCAATTATGGAGATAAATATTATTTGTCCAAGCGTGAGCATATGAATGCAGAAGTTTGAATGTGAGCTTCTTTGCTCCGGCAAAATTAGCATCTAATAATCAGGCCTATTCTGCACGGCGTGTGAGGTGAGGTGACTATCCGTACAAATCAAATGACGAAACAAAATTTTCACTTCGTTATAGTGATAGCCAGCGAGTCACCTCACCTCACATGCCGCACAGAATAGGCCTGACTGAATAATGATAACAGAGAGATGATCCTGTTTAAATTGTTTTCTTTGTGTGTTAGGTACTAATAAACTGGATAGACAGCGATATTCTGTTGCATTTCACACACAAACACTCGGAAGTTCACACGCATTAGTCCCAGATCAGCTTATTTTACTTTTTTCGAATCCTTTTTCTTGGTCTCCTTTTTCGTCTTTGTGGATTCCTCACCGGAAGCCTTCTCGGATTTCTTAGCATCCTTGGGTTTCTCCTCCGGATGATCTTCGTAACTGAAACGGAAAGTATGAGGTTCAATGTTGACTTCACGTCACAAAGGATTCCCCTAGCAGTCGAATACTATACTTACGCAAAAAGTTTCTTGATGTCTCCCTTGAGCAGTGCCAATAGCAGAGGCGTACCAAGGCAGGCCGGTACCAGATAGAGCAGGGCTGGCTGAGCATGTTTGAAAACGTGCATCACGAAGATTGTGGCCATCAGACCGAAGAAGTACGCAGTGAATGTTGCATAGAAGTACAGATTGCTCTTCCTCTTAAGGCTGTTATCGAACCGCAACAGCAGGGCAATGAAGATTCCCGGAATGACAATGTCTCCCAGTCCAAGAACGGCAAAATTCGAAGCAGCCAGTCCATTCGTGATCAAGTCCTGTGGGAACACTAGTTTGATTGGAGCCTCAAACGATCTCGCCACCGTAACCATCACGTTCGTTCCGAAGACCCAGAAGATATCGTAGAAGAACAATCCTCCTAGCAGGATGCAGCCGGTCACAATGTTGTTCAGATGCAGCAGTTCCACTCCATTGACGGCAAATGCCAATCCGAGAAGATTATTGGCGATCCAGTGCTTCTGCAACAAATACCAAACTCCGATAATCAACGAAATGATAAAGCACACGACATCGTGCGTCGTAAACTTGTAGTCAATAAGGTAGGTTTCCTTATCGTCCTTGACTCCTTCCGTAGGCCCCTGAATAAAGGACAAATGGTAGGGAATCTTCGGAATAGAAGACGGGATCAAAGAGCCAATCACTGGGCTCAGCAGATGGGCCAGCGCCATCACGCCAAGGAAGAAGAAGTAGCCAGTCAGCAGGAAGTTGATGTTATCCTTCGAGAAGATCTTGAAGAACATGTACAATCCGAACAGTGCACAGGAAGCCATAATCGGGAACATCATCGCGTCCTTCGAGGTCATCGTGTCAGGTTTTTCCCCAGTCTTCAGGAAGGTAGACTACAACGGTACAAAAGAAGCAGGCATCAAACTTAATCCATCGACCCTTCAACCCTCACCCCCGGGAGATACCTACCGTCTGTTCTTTGTGATGCTTCACGGATCGTATCGAACCGAAGAAGATGGGTAGCATGGCCATCACGACTAATGTGCCGTACGCGAGGGCCATTCCCTCCGGTGTGGAAGGCACTTTTGTGGTGCCATTGGTAGCTGCCGCGTTGGCGGCTTCGGTGAGATTCTCCTGCACCTGCTGGACGATTTCCTCCACATCAGCCATTCCCAGTAGTTTTACAGCCGAGCCACTTAACCAAATTTCTGAGAGAAGAATCCAATGTCCTTCTCAGTCTGGTAGCTGTGCGGTTAATTCGTTAAACGCACCCTAGCACGGTTCTGATAGTTTGGAAAGAACACCTCGGCAGCCAAGAGAAAGGGGGAAATTTTGTTTGCACTACTATTGTAAAACGCACTCACTCGAAGGATTCGCGTTTGGTCGTTTTCTGACTGCGTGTCAATCAGCTTTGCCAGATAACACAAAACGGGATGACAGCTCGCGGGGGGCTGTCAAACGATGTGTGAAAGTGATCTAAAACAAGGTTGTTCGATAAATGAAGGTTTGCTGATCTAACGCAAAGGGTCTGCGTTCCGGGAATCCATCAACAAAGAGAAATTCCATGGTTACAGCTACCGCAATTGAGTATTGCGCTTAATAGTCGTGATAACTATAAAAATTGTCTCATTTTCAGGTGCAACGGTCGTCCTAATAACGTTCCAGTTTAATATGTGTACCAGTCTATAGCTGACTACCAGCCACTTAGCAAGATGCGCCATTTTATTCAATCAACAAAGTGAACTCGTTGTGTGCGCATCATTATCGAGAATAAACCGAATTTACTATTTTATACTTAACTCTTAGCATTTCATTTTACCGGAACCGCATCCCAAGATTTTCTACTCTGTTTTTATTTTATTTTGTTTTTATTAAGATCGATTATCTTCGTCGACTCTCTCTTTCGTTAATAACTTGAGTTCATAAACGTTTCTTGTTCTGTTTCTAGTATAAGATCTTATATAAAAGCTTCTTTATCGATATGTGTGCTGAAAATACCAGGTAGTGTCTTTACAAGGTCGTGAGATGTAAAGAGAAAGCCGACGAAGAGAATCTGTCAATTTTACTTAGGACTGATTGCAATGTTCAGTTTGATTTGACAATAGGTAAGAGCAACCGTAACGGTCGTTGTCATTTGCGCGACTATTTTAACAGCGCACAGCGCTCTCATTTTAGTTTAGTCACTCTTCTGCACACCGGTCGCTGCTATCGCGGTTATCAATTTACTCGCCTTTGTCCGTACCGGTAGTGAGCATTTTGACATTTCTACGAATAGCAACTTTTCTCCCGCGCTGCTATCGCGCTGCTAAATTTGGTAGCGCGCTTCTCACCGAGAAGCCGACTGCTATTTTAGTTACTCGTATGGCAACCCCCGATACGGTAGCTGCGCTATATGATGAGGGCTGCTAAAATGAGTTTAGCAGCGTACCGTTACGGTTGCTCTAAAGAATAATTTTCCCGGAAGTTGGTTCCTGTCATCAGAATGAAGTTTCTCCCTTCGATGCAGAGTGCAACACATCGAGTGCAGCTGGCAGTTGGGACTTTGGATGTAAACAAAATTCCACCTGCAAGGTTTTGTGATGCCGCAGTTTAAATCCTGTTAAAATGTAGAGTGCTAAAAGTCTTTGGATTAATCAAAGCTATTTAGAAAAGTCTGTGATAATCGCTGTGATAAAATTCGCATCCCATCATGCCCAAACAAACAACGCACCAGATTCGAATCGTCCGGCAATCGATCGATCGAACATCTCTGTCGCCGGCGTCGTCCAATGGTCGAGCTCGTCAGATTGGTGTAAAATTCGATCATCCCAATCCACTGTTTGAACGATGGCTACAGGAAATGCTTTCGAAAGCTGAAGATAAGAGCTCGATGAGTCGAATTCCGCTGCAAAAGGCACTGGCTTCCCTGAGGCGCTATCCGCTTCCGATTGGCTCCGGAAGGGATTGCTGTGTGCTGATGGATTTTGGCAACACTATTTGCGAAGCGTTAGAGAATAAGCTGCAGATATATCGGAAGAATGGGGGCAAGTTGGCGGTTGATTGCGATGCGGAGATCGAGAATGTGTTGAACGATAGGAAGAGAGAATACTACGGTCAGTTGGTTCGGGAGGAATCGGATAAACCACGAGAAAATGACGCGCCAGGTAAGGACGACCAATTCGAAATACCAGACGATTCCGTGTTTGAACATCTGGAAGTCTTGGACAACCAGCATTTGAGTGTATCGAATCCTAAGGCTGTTTTACTGGTTGACACTCAGGAAACGATAGGCAAGTCCAGGAGCAACCTTGACCGTACGTTAAAAGAATTGGAACAGCATAACGTGGAGTTTGAAGTTCGACGGTTGAGCGTTGGTGATTTCCTGTGGATTATACGAGACGACAGTGGAAAGAATTTCATTCTTCCTTACATTGTGGAAAGAAAACGGATGGACGATCTTGCCAGTAGTATCAAGGATGGTCGCTTCCACGAGCAGAAGTTTCGGCTGAAGCAATGCGGATTGGCAAATGTGATATATCTGATCGAACACCTGGGCAACAACCGTCAGGTGGGTGTTCCGGCGGGTACACTTTCCCAAGCTGCTCTGAATACCTACGTGCAAGACTTTACGGTTAAGTACACGGAAAACCATCATCACACGGTGCTGTATTTGTCGGTAATGACAAAGTTCCTGAATAAGAACATTACGGTAAGACGGTTAATTTTGAGGGAGAATTCTTTCATGATAATTATTCAGGTATTTTTCACAGGACAAGTCATTTTGGAACATCACCAATCTACCTCAGGAGACAATTTCCACAACGGGCTCCGATTTCAAACTCAAACAACGGACAATACCTTTAATATCGTTTGAATCGTTTAATAAGCAATCGTCCAAGACACGTGATTGCTCGGTAAAGGAAATCTTTATAAAACAGCTGCTCCAGATAAAGCTTCTCACGATTGAAAAAGTGAATGTCATTGTCGAAAAGTATCCAACACCCAAAAAGCTCTTCATGGCATATGAGCGTTGTACGAGTGAAGAAGAAAAGGAAAATCTTCTGAATCTACCTTATGGACCGATAAAGAGAACGATCGGATTGAAGCAGAGTAAAATTATCTACCATTTGTTCATGAGCGATGCCTATCGGCATTGAGGTAAGTATTTATTGGTTAAATCAAAATATCAAATTTTCAACCCACGATAGAAACGGGTATACGTTAGTATAGACGCCGGGTGATCCCGCCAAACCGCAGTACTTTCCGAATGAGGTCACTCCGATAATCGTGTACGTGCAGTATACGCTTTCATCGTTGTACACTTGCAGCGGTCCTCCTGAATCGCCCTGCAATCAAATAAACAGATCCATACAATCGAACTTGAATTATTTGCTGAACACCCACACTCTTACCTGACAAGTGTCCTTGGTGGAATCTCGCGACCCGGCACAGATCTGAGTCCCTTGGTTCAAACCATCCTTTAGTTTCCGATTTGCCTCGAACTGCACTGTGCATTCGTCGTATGCAAACATATCCAGCACCACCTTCAACAGAATAGGGCTCGTCGCTTCTCCGTACCCGATGGTGCCCCATCCGGTGGCAATGGCCCGATTGTACCGTAGTTCACCACTCAGTGGCAGACAGATCGGTCGAATGAACGGCGAAAGGATCACCTTCCGGTCTAGCTTCATCAGGGCGATATCGTTGTACTGCGACGTTAGGCGGTAGTCCGGATGTGGAATCGTTTCAGCGATGTTGAAATCCTCCGGGAAGGCTTCGTCGTTCGAAGAATCCAGAGCTAGGTCCCCGAGACGGACGGTGGTGGCGGGCCCACTGGAATGGGAAGAATTAATTGGTGCAACTGTCGGAACATACAGGGTCATGTGCAGCATATCAGTTCCATATACAATTTTGAGCCGAACAACATTGTCAAATTCATTTCCAGCACACAGTTCCATTAACGAAAGAGAATGTCGATGAAGAGAATCGATTAATGTTAGTTAGGATCTAATGCATCATTCGGGTTGAATTATGAATTGGCAACCTACATTAGGATGGGTCAAGTTTGTATGGCGGATCACAACCCTCTGCTCTTTCGATCGGGATTTGCGGGAGAATGGTATAGTTTGTATGGGAAGTTGGCCAAAACTATTCAGTTCAGGACTGGTAGCGAGTCACTTTTGGTCACTTTTTGCAAGCCAGTCACTAAATAGTCTCTTTTTTTTAAGGCCAAGTCGCTACAGTCACTTTTTCTTGAAATAAGGCACTATTTTTAAGTTTTTTTTTGTTAGCGTGTATTAAGTAGCGTGAATTAATTTGCTTCAATTTATTTGTTTTGTGATGTTCAATCGTCTTTTTCAGGTGTCAGGGTATCTACTCATTTTTATAAATAAAATTACCTGAGTTTTCCAGATTTTTCCAGAACTTTAAAGGATAAATTCCTGGCTTATAATAAGAAAGCTATTTTTTAAATGCGTTAAAAATATGCTTTTTTGGTAGAACAAAATCAACAGCAAGTAACCCAAACATTTAAAGACATGGCAATCAGTTTTAAAGAAATAGCTTTACAATAAAATCCATTGAATGTTGAAGTTTAACACTTACTTAATTTATTATTTTAATAAAGCTAAAAACGTACTTAATTTGAGTAGAGTCTTGGGATCTAAAAATATTCAATATCTCGAAGTTTCGTTTTGAGTTTTGAAAATTTTAAAAGTGCCAGAATTAAGGAAATATAAATGATTTATTTCAAGTTCGTAATTAACTTTAAAAAGATTAGAGATCTTCATTGCAGTCCCAGTAACTTCACAACAATTGTAAGAACTTTCTAGAAGTTCTGAATGAAAGGAAATGCTGATCATTTCAGAGAAGCTCCATAAACAACTGCGGGAACATTAGGGAAGTTAACATATAATAAAATATGGGGAACTTACTGGAAGCTTTAAGAACCTCAAAGCGGTTCATTTGGCATTGGGAAAATTTCAGAAAATTTCACAGATGTCAAGTGAACTTAAGGAATAAAGAAAACTTGAGGGGTATTGTGTAAATTTTTAAGAAGTTCTAATCACTTCAGAAAAGCTAGATAAAGAGATCTTTAAAAAATTTCAGATCTTAAGAGCAGTTCCCGTAACTTTAGTCCAGACTTTTGGAGCAGTTTAAAGATCTATAATCGTAATCGTCACTCATATCAATAGAAGTAAAGATTCAAACTGAAATAACTTCGGAGTTTCTTATCTTATCGATTTGGTATGTTCAGATTAATTACCCTCCCCTTGACTAGTTTTTAACCTGGACGTTGGTGGGCGGGCCTAATCTTATGCTTCATAGTGGAGCGTTAGAGATGGTTGGTTTAGGTCCGGCATCGTTGGCTCATGCCGTGACAGAATAGCGTCATGAGCATGCGATGAGGATTACTGAGCTTCCCCTCTCTGATGAACCATTGCATGAGAGAACCAAAGTTCTAGCCTGAAGTGATAGTATCACACTTGTTACTCCTTTGTTTGAGAGCCGCGTTGTAGTACGCTTACGTATAGGCACTGACGTTGGGTGCGATACTGGCGGGTTTTTCCGCAAATCACTCTTATTTTATTTATTTTTACGGAGATAGATTTATTTGGGCTTGCAAGGGAATTATACTATTGAACTATTTCAGAAGTGCTCCTTCTATTTGCGTGACAAGCTTTCATTGTTGTTTTATTGAAACATTACTCAGAGAACAATGTTAAATACCATTTTTGTACATGCAGGGCTGTTACAACAGGCGTGGATTTCGCGGATTTGTCGCGGAAATCGCGGAAATATTAAATGATGTCGCGAAAATCGCGAAGGGACTGATGTGCTGTCACAAAAATTGTGGAATTCATTATAACCTTTCCGTCCCGGATTATTTTGCTGTCATAAGTTTTGTTGTTCAAACACCCTGCAAATAATCGAGAAGTGATCTCAATTCCTTAAGTCACACCGGATTTACATGGAAATTCCGTGAGGTCTGTCCAATGTGAGTCATTTTCATTTTTTTTTTAAATTTCCAATATGAACATAACATTTTTCGTTGTCAAATCATAAACGAATCGTATATATGCGGGTTATTGCCATACCGGATATTCTAGGTTCTCCAAATCGTCCTGGAGTTCAGTTGATTTGTTCTACTATATCAACCAAGACTGCAATAATGTCTGTAGTATCGAAATATGTCCAAAGATTTTCAATGTGTCGTGTATGCCAAATATTTCCTAAGGATTTCCATTTCGATATTTCGATACTTCAGATATTTTTTCAGCCTTTGTTTATCTAGTAAAACAAATCATCTGAACTGCAGGACGATTTGGAGAACCTAGGTCATCTGGTATACGTGGAAATAATTAAACATTATCCATATAGCCACTATGAATCTGTTTGGACATATTTCGATACTACGGACTGTATCCCAGTCATGGTTGATCTAGTAGAAAAAATCATCTGTACTCCAGGACGATTTGGAGAACTTAAAACATCTGGTACATATGGCAATAGTTCATGCATGATCCACTGTGCATCTTTCTGGAAATATTACGATACTAAAGACATTGTCCCAATCTCGGTTGATCTAGTAGATCAAATTATCTGAACTCCGGGACGATTTGAAGCACCTACAACATCTGGATTACTCGGAAATAGATCATGCATGATAGGGATCGAATAAAAACTCAGAGTGGTGCAAAAAACACTGGTGCTACTCTAAAATAAGGGAGCGCGTCCCTAATATTTGGAAGGAGAAAGAGACTAAGGAGAGATAGATTACATATTTAGGAGAGAGTAGTTGGACAGCTCAGGTGCTACTTGCGTATGGCACAATCGAGTAGTGCACGGTGTTATGATGGGAGTAGCACTTTTCAATCGGGAGAGACGTGGCTTAGAGATTTACAAGAATGGTTGCATATTTTAGGCTGGGTGCAGAATATGTTTACACTCATATAATATATGTTGCAGTGACTGTATGGTATTCAAAAGCGTAGGAAAATGCAAATTTTGATGCTTTTCCTAAAGAAATTTTTTTAATAGTACGTTCAGACTATAGCTGATATCATGTAATATAGGCTATCTTACAATGAGCACTCATACATAGGATTTCCAGTGAAAACTAGATGTATGAGTGCTCATTGCAAGACAGCCTATATTACATGATATAAGCCATAGTCTGTACGGGGTATAAGATCGATGTGTAATTTTCTTCACAAGAGGGTTAGCTCTGGTTGTTAGCCAACCCGACACCAACATGACTTCTATCAAACCCCAACCCGATGTTGACCCGACATTGACCCGACATAAACCCCTAATTGACCCGACAACAACACGACATTGGGTCGACATCGACCCTAAATTAGCCTTACATTGATCCGACTTCGGATCGACTTGTCTGTTCGGGACCATTTTGCTGGGTTTCTTCCACACTCCACTGTCGTATATCAAATGATATTGGGTGACTCAATTGACAGTGACAATGAGCTTTTTTTCACAGAATCGATTTAATAGTTGTATTGGTTCATCGTCAATCGAATGATATGAAAATTAACAGCACTGATGCTAGCTATCCTACAACGCTACAGTTATACACTGTACACAAACATCATCCTCTGATCAAATGAAACCTCAGACCATTCAAAACAAAACACCGAAATCGCTTTTTCGAATGATAGCTGCAACCGGATGACGGTTGTTTTGAAATCAGATGATTTTCCTCTCGAATACAGGATGAAACTTGTTATCAAAAGGGATAGCGCCTTCAGTTGAAATGCGTAATGCTCTCTGCAGAATGACTGTCATACTAAATGGAAATGCATATGGTATTGGTTCAGCCTCATAACGCAAATCATTCAAAACGATGATGTAAATAATTCTATCGAACGTCATTTGCTGATGTGAGCTGACAAACGAGGTGGAAGCATATGCATCACTATCAGAGCTGTTACGAACATTAGTAAAGGATGAAAACCAATGTTTGGCTATTTCGTGATGGAGGAGGTTTTCTCCACCACGAAAATTTTTTGTACCCATAATGGAATGGCTTATTATGGCTGTTCAGTATGGAATTGTAGATAATCAAATTATAAATCTAATTAAAAGCACTTGCATGTCACACTATTCTTAAATGTTTGTCCTCTGAGTGCCGTATGTTTTAAAGCTAATTTTCAAACGAAAATCATCCTGTATTTGGATGACAGTCATATGGATGTTCATCATCTGACGACGAATTCAACCATAAGAAAATCATCTGAAATTCGAATGCATATTGTTAAAGGGCTCGAGCAATACAATAATCATTCGAAGTATTGCGGGTGTTTTCGTTCAGTGTAGAGAAAGTACACTGTCGGAGAAACAAAGAGAGAGAGAAAGAGACTTAACACCGTTGGAGCGGCAGCTCTCCAACACAAGAAGAATGAAATGTACTGCACGATTTAAAATGCTCTTTCACGTCTCTTTGGAAAGAAAGTGCAGTCTCGCAACAGCGTGTGTTTTACTCGCAAAAAATTGAGTAGCACCCGATCCCTGTGCATGATCCACATAGACACTTTGAATCTGATTGGACATTTTTCGTTACTACAGACATTATTGCAGTCTTGGTTGATCTAGTAGAACAAATCAACTGATGTCCTAGACAATTTGGAAAACGTATAATTTCCAGTACACATAGTAATAAGTCGTGCATGATCCACAAAGTCACATATATATGATTCGGTTATGATTTAACAACGAAAAGGTTCATATTAGAAATAAAAACAAATCATGAAAATGTCTCACCATTGGACAGACCCCAAGGTATATCCGTGTAAATACAGAACCGTGACGAGACCAAC